TTCCTCCAGCGCTGGAGGGAAGCTATCGGGCAAGTGGCTCCGTACGAAGCAGCTCCAAGGATTCTAGGGATGGTAGTGGGCTTCTGCCATATCTGGGCTCCAGGCTCCGGGCTCCAAGCAAAAGCCTGTATGAAACACTTTGAGGGAAAGATAAAGAACCTTAAGAGGGGACACCTGCATGCCAGGAGCCATTCGACCAGGTGAAGCTCAAACTGATGCCTATCCCTCTCTGGGGGTTACCCAATCAGAACCTCTCTGAGCTTCATGTGCACAAAAGACAGGGAGAAGCCCTAGGGGTTCTTACTCAGAATCTAGGGCCAGAGGCGGCCAGTGTCTTATTTCTCCAAACAGTGGAACAGCGTGAAATCCCTCTAAAACTGCTCCCCTCAGCATCCTAGCTGTAGCTGCCACATATGACATCATGCAAGAAACTAAAATGCACACCTCAGGGCAGAGACTGAGTGTACACACCCACCCCACATGGTCTTTCCTCTCCTAGAACAGAAAGCGGGTGTTGGCTCACTGCTGGGAGAACAGAGAAACACGGAGCCATCTTCCTGGCTACCCCTAACAGAATGGACTGACACAGCAACTACAGCAGTGGGCTCAAGAGTGTCGGAAAGGATGAGGAGGATGTCACAGGACAGGACAGGGTTCATTTGTGTTGTTCATAGGGTCTCTATGCGTCATACTCTACTCGATAGGGCATAACAACGGCAACAACCTCCTGGATAACTAAATGTGTCTCCAAAAGCTGTCTGGATTCTAAAGTTGGCTATGTAGCTGCCATCAAAGAGAGGCTCAGTACACAACGGCCTTGAGAGAATCGAGAGGGTCTTCTCCCGCCGGCCTGACCTGTCGGTTTGGCATTTCTTAAGCTGAAGGAACTGAAGTACAAATTCAAACCTCGAGGTAAAATACTTACAGATGCTTTGGACAGAATATTAAATGTCCAAGGAAGCATTGAAAGAAGATGGGAAGAGTATACAGAGTCTTTGAACCAAAAAGAATTGGTGGACACAAGAATTTCATGAAACAACATATGAGCAAGAGCCTGTGGTGATGAAGGAGGAAGTTCAAGCTGCTCTGAAAAATTGGCAAAAAACAAGGCCCCAGGAATTGATGGCATACCGATTTACATATTTTAACAAATAGATGCCTCCCTGGATGTACTCACCAAGTTGTGCCAAGAAATCTGGAGGACAACCACCTGGCCTACTGACTGGAAGAGATCTGTATTTGTTCCCATTCCAAAGGAAGGTGATCTTACACAGTTTGGAAATTTTCGAACAGTGTAACAACAACAACAACAACAACATCATTGATATCTCATGCAGGAAAGATTCTGCTGAAGATTATCCAAAAATGACTGGAAAGCATATCAACAGAGAACTGCCTAAAGTGCAGGCTGGGTTTAGAAGAGGCTGTGGCATTAGGGATAGTATAGTTAATGTCAGATGATCTTGGCTGAAAGCAGAGAGTACCAGAGGAATATCTATCTGTATTTCATTGCCTATGCAAAGGCATTTGACTGTGTGGATCACAATAAACTGTGGCTGACTCTGAAAAGAATGGGAATCCCAGAATACTTGATTATGCTAATGTGAAACCTATACTTGAATCAAGAGGCAGTCATCAAAACAGAGCTAGGAAACACTGCATGGTTCAAAATTGGGAAGGATGTGCTTCAAGGATGGGTCCTAGCTCCATATCTTCAATCTACATGTGGAACAAATTATTCCAGGAAGCTGGAATCTATGAGGAGAAGTGTGGCATCAGGATTGGAGGTAGACTCATCAACAATCTGCATTACGCAGATGACACAACCCTGCTTGCTGAAACTGAGGAGGACCTGAAGCGCTTGCTGCAGAGGGTCAAGAACTGCAGCTTTCAATATGGATTGAAGCTCAATGTCAAGAAAACAAAGATGATCACCACTGGGCCAATTGACAGCATCATGATATGATGAAAAGATTGAGTTTGTTGACAGCTTCAGTTTGCTTGGCTCTACAATCAAACATTGGTACCAGCAGCCAGTAAATTAAAAGACGAACTGCATTGCAAAGTCTGCTGTCAGAAACCTCTCCAAGGAACTGAGGAGCAATGATGTCAGTCTGGAGGCCAAGGTACACCTGATACAAGCCATGGTCTTTGCAATTACTTGCTATGCATCAGAAAGCTAGACAATGACAAGGGATGATAGAAGGAGAGTTGATGCCTTTGAGCCTTGGTGCTGGAGAAAAGTATTAAACGTACCATGGACTGCTAGGAGAACAAACAAGTTCGTCCTGGAAAAGGTGAAGCCAGGCTGCTCCTTGGAGGCAAGGATTCTGAAGCTCCGTATGACATACTTTGGACATGTTGTAAGGTAGGATCAGATCTTGGAGAGAGACATTATGCCTGGGAGGGTGAAGGGACAGCGCAGGAGAGGAAGACCCTCAAAGAGATGGATTGATTCCATCACTGCAGTAATGGGGATAGGCGTATCAGAGACACTAAGATTAGCCCAGGACAGAGCAGGGTTCAGGGCTGTTGTACACAGGATCGCTATGAGTCACAGGTGACTCAACGGCATGTAACAACAACATTGGCTACTGAGGCGTTCTGACTCATATCCACCCAGTAGGACAGAGTAAAACTGTCTCATGGGATTTCCAAGGCTGTAAATCTTTATGGGCTAAAACTGACAGATCTTTTTCCTGAGGGACGGCCTACCTTTCAATTAGCAGTCAAGCTTAACCACTGGGCTACCAGGGCCCCAGTGGGTAAATAATCGTAATTAAAAGGGAAATAAGAACAAAGAGTGGAATTGAAACAAATTAAGAGCTCCAGGAAGCAATATTTCAGAGTTCTGGTGTTTCTCTGGGGATCCTCAGGTCCAAAGCTCAAGGAACAGAGAGAGACCTTGCTGAAATAGGCTTCATGCCTCCGTTTCTCAGTTCAAGACCTGGGTGTGGCTCGAAGGTGCTGCCTTACTTTATGAACTGTTCCCAGCAGGACTCCCAGGCATCTGTGAGGTGCCAGCCAGTCAACCACGGCTGTCCACCAGCAAACCGGAGACTGATTTTTCTCCTCGTTTCTCATGCAACTCACCCTGCTGGCTCTTCATCTGGCAAACAGAAGTGAGGCTGTGGTCCCAGCTTCCAGAGGTCCTGCCTGCTGTGCACAGCAGAGGTTGGGGCGACGGCATGGGGCATGGGAGAAGAGGGGGAAATGTCTCTCCTGACTTCCTACTCTACCTCCTTTTACTGTAATGAAACATCCCCCCTTCCTTCCTCTGACAATGGTAGTGACCGCGCCGAGTCCACATGTGCTTCGGCTCTGTGGTCCTTCAGTTTAATGACCCGGAAGTGGAAGAATTTCAAGATCTTTATTTAGGTATAAAAAACATACAGTACTTCACACACCGGTGTGGCCAATACAGTCATTCTCTATAACTGCAACTACTACAAAAGGAAATACAAGGTTATAGGGAGTTATTTAACAAACTAAAAAAAATCAGAACTTAAATTGCTCACCTGAATAGCAACCCGTTTATGATGCAAAAATCTACTTATTCTATGTTTGTGAGAACTAGAAATTTGTAAGTATTATTAGTAAATAAAATAAAACAAAACAAACAACATTACAAAAAAACTAGTTACTGGTTAAAAAAAAGTCAGTGTGCTCTATGAACCCCTGGAGTGTGAGGTGCCTGAGTGGGTGTGGGGCCCTGCCCAGAGCAGGAACCTTGGTCATTCTCTCCCCTGACCTCTCTCCGTGGATTGACACCACTCACCTAAGGCATGTTTGCAGAGGGATGAACGTTCCATGGTTGAAAGCAAGATGTGCGCAGATGCCTGGAGAGCTTCAACAGGGCAGGAAGGCCATACCTTCTGCAGCTTGTGGGGCCCAGGTGATGGGTCCTGCGGAGGCTCCCTGAGATGTGCCACAAAAAGGTGCCAAGGCAGACGGCTTGGCCTGCAGCTCTGGCCAGAGTTGCTGTGGACCACATCCTGGGTGCCCCAAGTTAAGAGATGAGGAGACACAGAGAAAAAGAGAGTCAGGGACCTAGAGGCACAGACAGAGAGGGGTAAAAGGGGCTGTAGGAGGCAGAGAGCTGGTGATAGGGAGAGAGCAATGGTAGAGGTAATCAGGAGAGAGAGGAGACAGAGAGAGTGGGGAGGGGGGGAGAGGAGAGAGAGAGAGAGAGAGAGCGAGAAGGAGCCTGGAAGAGGCAAAGATGGCGAGAGGTCATGGGCTTGGGGAACATCTCCCCCACCTCACAGGCAAAACTAAAAGGGTGTTGCTGAGGGTCCAAAGGGGGCCCAGCTAATCTAGGCACTCTCCAGATGGGCAGGCATGGAGGTAGCCCTCATCCTGTCCCACTTGAGTCTCCACTGTCCCCCTCCAGGATAGATTCACAGTTGTTTCAAAGCTCTACAAGACATTTCCCTGAATTTGTTTCAGCGCTCAGTACAGCAGTGGCGGCGAGGTCATCTCAGGACTGGAGGTCAGAAGGCGCCACGTGGTCTCTTTCCCTCCCTGGGCAGGCCCGGCACTTCTGGGGAGCAAATGCTAGGCCCTCCCAGTCTCCAGGGGACCTGGGCTGCGGAAAGTCCTTAGATCAGGGGGTCTAGGCATCTGTTCCCAAGCAGATGGGCCCCAGGACTGTACTGGCCTCATGGGAGATGAGAGCAGGGCACTCTGGGGTCATCGTTACTGCGCCCAAGCTGTTCTGCTTTGCAGCCTTAAAGAAGCCAAAGAAGATCCCTGGTTTGGACCCATGGTGGGGCTCTCCGAGCCCACTGAGGGCAGGAGCCCAGCTTTTCCAGCATGCGGAGGGCAGCGATGACTGCAACACGTCTGGATGCTTCAGGGACCTGACCACCGCCACCCAGGAGGAGCTTGGAAACCATGTGGCAGGGGTGCTGGACCTGGAGTCAGTGCAACTCTCCCAGGGCTCAGTGTCTGGCGTCCAGCTGGCCAAGCCGGTCCCCCAGCCCGGGAGACCAGGCGCCCTAATACAGCACCTCCCGGGGGTCTGAGCCGTACAGCTCCGCCAGCATCTTGAACCGGGGGCCCCAGTCGTTGAGGAAGTCGTAATCGACGTCGGAGCTGGAGGAGTCGGTGCTCAGGGTGCTGAGCGACTCGGCGATGGACTCGGAGCCCTCGAAGCCATAGATGTGCAGCGTGTCGTAGGGTGGCCCGGCGCCATCGCGGTCGGCCTCGTCCTTCTTCTCCTCGATCACCGCCGCCATCTCTCCCGGCGCGCGGTGCATGCCGGGCCCGCGCCGCGCCTGCTTCTGCACCTGCGCGTAGAGCGGCGGCCGCGCCTCGGGCGAGCGAGGGGCCCCGGCGCCGCGGCGCGCGGAGTTGAGCACCGACACGTCGTAGCTGGTGGTGTCCATCTCGCCACCGCCCTCCTCGTCGTAGCTGACCAGCTGCTCGTGGATCTCGGGCACGCTCTTGCCGTGGGCACGCGCCTGCTTCTGCAGCCGCCGGCGCAGGAAGATGAGCAGGGTGATCACTGCAGGAGCAGAGCAGGGAGGTGTCAACACGGGGCTCTCCAACCCAGAGACCCACCTGCGCCCTGTGCCAGCCTAGACTCCCAGCCACACCTCCATGATCTGATGACACAGAACCTTTGGGATGAGTCACCCGCCTCCTGGAACAGAGGCACCCAGTTGACAGACGTGGCGCCCACATCCCTGTACCCTGCATGCTCCGCGTGGGGCACCAGCCCAGGGCTGCAGAGCCCCTGGAGGCCACAGCACACTGGACCCCTGGCTGTTTCTCCTCCCTGGGAAGCCCTTTCCGTGTCCCCTCGCCGCCGTGCCCTCCACTGACCGAGGATGGTGAGGATGCAGAGGAAGATGGCCACCAGCGCCTGGATGCTGACTCCCGCCTGGGCTGCCACCTCCTCACAGTAAGTGAACTCTCCGTACTCGTTACACTTGCACACCTCCACGGCCAACATGTTGGTGCTCGTGAGGCTGGGCCACCCGTTGTCCGAGATGATCACAGGCAGGTTGTGGACCTTGGCACGCTCGCGATCAAACTGCCCGTACTTGACGATGATGTTGGCTGTGTTGTCTGGAAACACCAAAGCCACAGTCAGGCTCTGCGGGGAATACCCGCCCGGTCTTGTCAAAGCATAACTCCTCCTCCAGGGAGCCCTCCCTGATTGTATCCGTTTATGCCCCGTTTCTCTGCTCCTTGCACCCGCTGTTTCCACACAGCCTTTAAGAATACTGGCCAAAAGGTAAAATCCTTGCTTTCTGGGTACCTGATAAGCCTGACTCTTTTTACCTAACCTTACTCGAACTAAGAGGCCTTTCTCTTTTGACTCACCTATTATTTGTACTGTTGCAAGCTTCAGAAACAACTGGAAGAAAAATTAAGTTTCAAAAATTTCTTTTAGTATTGGGCTAGCTTCTAAGGTATTTCTGCTCTCCCTGAAAAAATCCATCATTAGAAGAGCATTTTACCACAGTAGAAACAACTGCGATGCCTCCTGGGGTGCTTCAAGAATGGTTACATACGTAATTGAAGCTCTCCCAGCAGGCTGGCAGAGGGAATATGCTTTAGCCAAGATGTTGCCACCCCCTTTCTTGTCCTAGCTCCAATTTGTGTCTAATAAAGAAGTTACTTAAACATGATTATCAGATCCTTACCTGACCTCCCCCAGACATGCACACACTTAGAGGCAGGGTCTCTGGGCTAGGCTGAGGGCCAGACAGTCCACAATTTATAGTTTCCTAACCCAATGGATTAGAATGCTAGAAGAACCAATGCCTTTGAGTTGTGATCCTGGAGAAGAGTGCTGAATATCTACTAGACTGCCAAAAATATGTCTTGGAAAAGGTGCAGGCAGGGTGCTCCTTGGGGGCAAGGATGGTGAAACTCTCACATTCTTTGGCCATGTTGTTAGGAGGGCCACTCATTTGAAATAAATCATGCTTGGAAAGGTAGAGGGTCAGGAAAGGAGGGGAAGACCCTCAATGAGATGGAGTGACAGTAACAGTGGGCTCGCATTTGTCAGAGATGGTCAGGATGGCACAGGAAGGACAGGGTTCAGATCCATTGTTCACATGTTGCTATGAGTCACTCACGTGATTGTACTTAACAACAACCCAATGGAAAGACTGTGAGTTAGAACCCACTTGATGGCAGTGAGCTTTGGGAGGGGGGAGTTCTAACACCCGGGGTCAGAAGGGGGTGGATCCAAGGAATCTCTGCTCGAGGATTCACCTAATCACATGAAGTTATCGTCCCCAGAAGCCAGGCAGAAAACAAAGGAGCCCCTTTTACAGGCTTTTCAATTAAAGCTCTAGTGGCCTAGGGGATAAGGAGTTGCACTGGCAACCCAAAGGCAGGTGGTTTGAATCTACTAGCTGTTCAAATGAAGAAAGCTGGGCATCTTGCTCCTGAATTAACAGCCTTGGAAAATCCACTGGAGGGTCACAAACGGGTTGATTCCAGTTTGACAGCAATAGAGATGTCTGAGATACCTGAAAGTAGACGACATAGCCTCTGGCACTCTCTGGGTGAAACTGGAGTTTTGGACATGCAGGGCACTCAAGACTTAGGTGAGACTGGATGTAGCTCACTCTGGCCATACATGAGCTGTCCGTAGGATGGCACTTAAGCATTCTACCCTTCTCTAAAACCTACTCTGAGAGGGAGTGAGGTAGACATTGGAGAGGGGGTGACTTGTCATTCTGCTAAAATGTAGCTTAACTGCTCTATTATTATCACCACATCGTGAACTCATTCCCTGTGGGTTGGCGCAAGGATGGGTCTTGACCTTTTTGGTCTGTCACAGAGAACTGGCATGAGCTCCCTAGCCAGGCCCAGAACTCTCGGGGACCTTGTCCCCCCAATCCTTCCTCAAAGGTGGCACCTACTCCTTTCAGTACAGCAATCCTCATCAACTACAGTTTTGCTAGGAAAGACAAAAATGTTTCCACCTTGTGCGAGGAAATAGATATTCTCTTTCTCTAAGGGTGCTGCTGCCAGTGCAAACCCAGAAGCCTTCCCACCTCTGTCTGGAATTAAATCAACTAAACAGCATCTCTCTAGTGAAGGCATACTGACCCAGGGTGCTGATTGGCCACTAATGACATCATAGGAATCACTGGGCTGTGATTGGAGGGTCAGATCCTGTTCAGGGGCCACCAGGTGGTAAGTAATCATTGTAGCTGAATTAAAACAAACTAGGGTGTATCCTGGGCATTTAAGACTTTCCATTTTTAGCCTTGGCGCTGGGCGTGACTGCAGACGTCCTTGTCATTGAGCAGTTGGCAGTTTGGATGAAGCACTGTGTGTGGGATGGAGTCCCACGCCTGGTGCGTGAACTGTGCTGCCTCCCAGGTCACTGTATCTGTTCTCTGTTCCTTGCTGATTGTGCATCTCATGGGGACTGGCCGGCCAGTGAGGACATGGTAATGTGGCCAAGGTTGTTGGTTCTAATCCAGCGTTAGCATAAAGTAGTGACGACAGTGGCAGGAGTTGTCTGAAATAATCCGTGACTTGTAAATCCTAGCCAGGGCCTGCTCCCAGCTTGTCAGCCTGGTCGGTGAACCGGAAACAGCCCCAGCCCTGACCCTGCTGAGCCCCCAGATGTTTGGATACGCACTGTGATTGTCTGTGAGGGTGAAGTTGCTGTCCTCGACGCCCAGGGAGAATCTGAACTTCACACCTGGAGGTGTGATGTCCTTGTCGATTGCTGAAATCTGCATGACCAGCTGCAGGCAGGGAAAAGGGGACAATCAGTGGTGGCTGGGCAGCTTGAGGTTCAGTGATCCAGACCTGGGGTTTAGGCCTAACTGTGAAACACTTACCTAAGGGCCATTCTTTTTACTACTTTCTACTTTTCACTCTCCATAAATATTCTCTAAGCCTTACTTTCTCCTTCTGTAAAGTGGGGGTAACGCTACCTTCTCTCACGGCTGTTGTGTAGGTTACATGAAGTGCACCGTGGAAACCCAGCTGACTGGGGCTGAGGGTGAGTCTGCCCCGCAGGCTGCTGCAGGGTGCTGGCCCTCGTCCTCCCACCTGTCACTCACCTGGCCGGAGGCGGCGTTCTCACACACTTTGGGATCATAGGGCTGGGCAAACTCTGGGGCGTTGTCATTCTCATCCAGGATTTCAATGTAGACCTGCACGATGGATTCCTTGCCCGTGGGGTTTCCTGCAGAGAATAAGACACATCAGCACAGTGGACCCAGCTAGCATTGGCCCGGTGTGGACAGGATCCTTGTAAGAGAGATCAGAATCAAACAACTCATGTGACGTTGAGTTAACAAAGTCTACTCATTTGAAAGAATGGAGTATGTCCTCTATGCCAAGGGAGAATCTGAACTTCACACCTGGAGGTGTGATGTCCTTGTCGATGGCTGAAATCTGCATGACCAGCTGCAGGCAGGGAAAAGGGGACGGTGGTTGGGGGGCTTGAGGCTCAGTGATCCAGACCTGGGGTTTAGGCCTGTGAAACACTTGTGTTGTCATTTATAGCATCCATATGAAGACATTTTCAAGTATAACTAAAAAAAAAGTCGTGTGTGTGTGTTGTGTGTGTTGTGTGTACCATCAAATCAGATCTGACTGGTACAGGAGGAGATTGTCCCTCCTTCTCCAGCAGAGCATCTGGTGGATTTGAACAGCGCACCTCTGGGATTGCAGTGCAGCTTCTTGCCACTAGGCCACCAGAGCTCACCTAAAAATAGTCTTTTGAAGACACTGTAATACTATGGAATAAAGTAAATCATTCATGATAGGTATTTTATGCAAATATTATGACCTCACTTATGTTAAAATATCTATAGAAAGACCAGAAAATATGCACGGAAGTGCTAACATTGGGTTTATGAGGGGGATATTCTTCACTATTCCCGCCCCTCCACCTCACCTTCATTTTCTAAGATAAACGTTTGTTACTTTTAAAGCTAAAACAAAACCTCTATGCATAAGGTGCAGTGGGCATAAAAGGGTCTGATCTGGAAAACAGTGGGAGGCCCTGGATGTTGGGCGTGGCTGCCATGCTGGGGGCAGCGAGTCAGGGCGGCCCAGCAGGGGTGGGGGCTCCCCAGGGCAGCACCAGTGGGGGCTCAGTCACCTCTTCCCTGCGTCTCAATGGTCTTCTAAGTAAAGTGGGAATATTAGAGCTTATTGCAAAGGGTACTTCGGGTTTTCTAATGTTGGGAAGGATGCCATGCCCCAGTACTTGACCTTCTCTCTTAAAGAAAACAAAACTCAAGACAGCTGCAGTAGAGTCAATGGTGACCTTCCATTGGGTTTTTGAGGCTATGAATGTATTTTTATTTTCTTATTAGATATTTCTTATTTCGTCTTTTTGTGATTTTAGAGGTCTTTATAGCAAATTGATTTTCCATTCAACCATGCATACTGTTGTACATATAGTTGTGTAACGTTGTTGTTGTTGTTGTTATAGGCCATCGAGTGGGAACTGACCCATGACTGACCTTCCAGCAGGTTTTCAGAGGCAGTAAATCAGCGTGAGGCGATTGTCCTCCTTATAACATCACTTTCCCCTCTTCCTCACTATTGTTCTTACTTCCATTAGTCTTTCAGCCTAACCTCTTCCTCCTCTTGGGCTCTGTCATTGGGCACATGTTGTGCTCTCACCCTTCTGTGATTGGTTATCTTAAGGAGGGAGGGACTTTCTGGTGTTACTGATCATCTTATAGGCTTGTCTATAAAAAAAGTTAAGCTATAGAGGTTTTGTTCCGAGTTCAAAGGGCAACGAAGAGCCATAGACTCAGGTATTTTACCAGCCTCTATCAAACCAGTAAGCCCGACCCCTTTTTTTCCCCAAAAAAAATGTTTTTAAGACTAAATTGTTTATGAAACGTAACCACCCATCTTTCTTCTGTAGCTCCACTGGATTTGAACCAGCAACCTTTCTGTTACCAGCCCAACACATAACACAGTACGCCACCAGACTTCCTTTCCCTCTAGCGGAAGATGCAGTTTCTGGAAGACCTAACAATGTCAGATTTTTAATTCACTGCTAACTTGTGCAAATAGTTTTCCTTTTCCCCCTGCCTCAAGGCAGCATTAAGCAAACACCCCTGATCATTGATATCAAGGGTACTTGCTAAATGGCTTAGCCGCATCTCAGACCAGAACCTCCCTGAAGGAGCTGTCACCTTCCTGCCTTAGGTGACTGTCATCACAGGGTCATCTGGGCAGCCTGTTTTAACCACAGCGCCTCTCTAACTACAGTTTGCCTAGCAAACTCTGCGGGTGGGACCTCCCAACAAGGTCTCAGGTGATGTAGATAGTGTTGGTTCAAGGCCAAGTGCTTCTGCAGGTGCTTGTAGCACCTCTAAGGAAGTGTTGGGAAACCAGAATGACAGATGAGGTGAGTTTTGCCAAGAATGAGGAGAAGAGACCAGGTCCCCTGGCAGATAGGGGCCACTCACCCCGAGAATCCAGCTCTTTGGCCTCCACCGTCAGGTTGTACCATGAGTAGATTTCTCTGTCCACTTCTTTCTCATTGTAGATGTCCCCCTGTTTGGTTACTCGGAAGAACTGGCCCTTGTCACTGGTCCTTCGTATGGAGTAACTACCAGAGGAGAGAGTTTTATGGTTTCACTTGTCCTTTGCAGAGTTCAAACTCCCAACAGGAAAGACCAAGCCCCCCAGCATCTGTCCCCGGTCCTCCAACTCCCCCAGCGTGCATCCACTACCCTCTGAACCCAGTTTAATGCCTGCACATCTACACAGAGGGGCCTCAGGACAGAGAGCTAATCCCATAAAACCATTGATGAGACTGGCAATATTTCCATCACTAAACTGAAACTGAAACACAAGACTCTACATTAGAGACTGAAAGAAGAAGTACTCTCAACGAATCCCAACTGGGATGAGTTTACATGATTAATGAGAAAAGGCAGGAACAGAAGTTTAAAAGGAGTGGCAAGAGGTAAGAAGCAGTAGAAAGGAACTTAAAAATTGAAGTAAAATATTGAAAAGATAGGAAAAATTTAAAAAGAAGAAATACATACATATATGCATAGACATATGATAAAAAAACCTGAGGTTTCTGCAACAAATAATTTTAGAACAAAAAAATTTTAGAACAAATAGAATGGAAGACATTCTCTTTAAGCGATATAATCATAGAAAACTTTCCTAAGCTAAAGAAAGACCCAGGTCTGCAAATTAAAAAAAACTCAGTTGCTATCTTGCATAACCTTAAAAAGAGATTGCCACAGGAATGTCCTGACGAAGCTTTTGAATGTCATGATTATGTGAAGAAATAGAAAAAAAAAATATCCAGAGCAAATAGTGAAATCTTTCCTTTCTAAAAAAAGAGCTCTGATGCCTTAGCTATCTCCACAAAATTCAATGCTAGAAAATGTTGACCGCCCTTTTGAAGGGAAGTGGCTAGTATCTAAGGGTTATGTGAGCACATATGTATATTAATAGAAGAAAGCAAAAGAACTAAGATATTTGCATAAGAGCTAGGAAGCATCTCACCCAAAACAATAGGTCCTAAATTTTTAAAAGCTCAGCTTAATCCATCTGACTAGTACATGCCTTTAATATAAAGAAATAACATGGGTTTGGAGGGATTCAAGTTAACCAGTGCCTCGTATACATGTGAAAGAAGTGGCTGTTTTACGTGTGTGCCATATTAAGCCCCCAGCTGTTGAGTCATTTCCACCTCAGAGTGACCACTGGTTTTCTGAGGCTGTAAATCTTTGGAGACAGAGACCACCTCATCTTTTCTTCTGAGAAGTGGCTGATGGACCCGAGCGGCCGACCTCAGGTAACTAGACCAACACTTAACCCACTGCAGCACCAAGGCGTGTAATTAGAAAGCAGTAGTGCACGCGCCGAGTTGTGCCTGTCTGGCGGTTCTAATTCACCAGGAACTCCTCAAGAGGAAGAGAGGCTGTCTCCTCCCAGTGCGATTTACAACCTCGCAAAACTGCTGGAGGGTCAGTCAGCTGTGAGTCAGTTCTGAGTCAGCGGTGAAGAGTGGATGAGTGTGAAAATAGGCTTCTGGGGGGAAATTCTAATCTTAAGAATAGAAGTAAATCTCCCTGGTAAAAATGAAAATAGATATATTCTATACAATAACAACAACAATATCCAAGTATCGAGGAGGAAAAATGATGAAAAATGGACTGTAGAGCAAAGATGAGGTAGAGGGGAGAAAAGAGCCATTATGTTTGATACATAGAAAATGCACAACAAGACAGAAGAAGTAACGTCAAACATTTATGATGAAAATGTAAATTGATTAAACACAAAGCATTTCAGGTTAGATTAACAATCAGACACAATTACATTTTCTTTTCAAGAAGCACCTTAATGCCAAAAGTCCTAGAAAAGTTAAAAATAAAGCCTGGGAAATATACGTCAGGCTCCCATTGCATAGACATGCAACCCCTGACGACTTAGCTAGTGAGTGGTGCCAGTACAGAGAATGTGGGCAGGGCACGTGCTTCAAGCCCACTGTGAGAAGATAGGCCAGGCTCTTTCTGGGTGCACGTGGAAGAGTCCTATTTTCAAAGATCCCTGGGTCACAAGCAGTGCTCACTTGACTAGTAACCGAGAGGTCGCTGGTTTGAACACACCCAGCATTGCTTCAGAAGAAAAGCTGGGCAGTGGGCTTCTGTGAAGATTGTAGCCAAGGAAATTGTGGGGAGCAGTCCTGTTCTGTAACGAACAGCGTGGGGAGTCCACCGGATTGCCACAGGCTTCTGAGATAGCAGATACTGGGGCGGGGGGGGGCTTATAAAAAGTAAGAGCTAAAACAGCATCTTTTTGTCCAAAAAGGTATGGAAGTCTAGTTAAGAAAGATGAGCAAGTGATAGGGAAAAGGGTAGGATTCAAAATAGGATGATAAAAAGCAACAGCAAACAAATAATAAAATCCTTCAACCACGCAAACAGTGAAATAGGTAACTATCAATCCATAAACCAACAACAGGTGACTGTGTGTGTGTGTGTGTGTGTGTGTGTGTTAATACATACATATGTACGTTTGTGTTAGTGTGGTTGTGAAGAAAGGCATGATGGGAACACACCAAGTTAGTAGCATCGTGATAGGACCACAAAAGCTATTAAGCAAGCTGTTAATTCAGAGTGGAAGTTACTGATGTTTTCTTTATAGATTTTTTTTAAGTCCCTCGTTGTCTTTATTATTTTTTTAATACTGGTTTACTTACAAAGTTCATAAACATCATATACATGTTTTTCACACACTGGATCTTTCCCCTTTCTTTATAGATCTTTTTTTTACTCATTTTTATTGAATTATTATTTGTGTGTGTGTGTGTGTGTGTGTGTGTGTGTGTGTGTGTGTGTGTACCGTCAAATCAGATCTGATTGGTACAGGAGGAGAT